GTCTGGCAAAAGGAAAATTTTCATTCCTTGCAAAAACAAAAACAACCTAGCAACCCCAAGACCAGACAAAATAAATTAATACAGGTAGACAGTCCTTGACTTACAACCACAGTTGAGCCTAAAATTTCTCCTGTTATGTGAGACATTTGTTCAGTGAGCTTTGTCCCATTTTACAACCTTTCTTGCCACAGTTGTTAAGTGAATCACTGTGGTAGGTAACTTAGTAACCCGGTTGTTATGTGAATCTGGGCTCCCCCCATTGCCTTGGTAAGAAAGGAACAAAAGGGGGGGGTCACATGACCTTGGGACCACAGCAACGGTCACAAGTATGAACCGGTTGCCATCTGAATTTCTTTCGCATGGTCATGGGGATGCTGCAAAGGTCGTAACTGGGAAAAGCGGTCGTAAGTCACATTTTTCCGTTCCGTTGTAATGTTGAACTGTCAACATGAACGAATGTTGTAAATCAAAATCTACAGGTGATTCCTCTAAATCTTGTGGGAGGTGGAGCAAAGGAGGGAGAGAGCAGGTGCTCATATGAATAAAGCTGAAAAATACCTGTATGTATTTCAGTAGATTTGCTTCATTGGCTTGGAGTTCAAGATTGCACTTTGCTCTGTCTAAAAGAGCCATCAAGGGAATAAGATGTCCTAATGCCAGGAACTAGAAAGGCAGGGAGGATACCGAGAAACTACAGATAGCCTTTGATCCACCATCAGTCGCTTAGCCACCATTCAAAGTCACAACGCATCCCCTTAAAGTACTTACAACCCAGTTTTGAAGTTCTGACAGCCAGCACCACATTCAGGCGTGTGCTTTGCAACTGGCCTGCATCTTATACCTATTTGTTGTGTCCCACAGTCAAATGACGACAATTTACAATATATTTTTTTGCCAAAATTCTGATTTCCAGCCCAAAAAAAAAAAAAGTCCTATTGGCTAAAATGGGTTTGTTTAATGATTGCCACATGGGGTTAACAATCCGGGTTTTACTTAGTGACTGTGGCATTCACTTAATGACTGCCAGAAGAGAGGTCATAAATTTGGGCACATTTACATGATGACCCACTTAACAACCATCATGAATTATGACTGTAATTCTAGATTCCATTCTGTCGTAAGTTGAGAACAGTCTACTACCACACTGTGTGTGCTGTCTTATTGAACTAAAATATGATGCTTTCTAGGTACAGCCTAGGAAATGTCTACGAGGTTCTTGGCAAGACAACAGATACGGGTATCTCGCCTGGCAGCCTAGTAGGAAATCTAATTTGCACCCCAAGATACAACAATAACCAAGTGATTTTGAGGGGCTTTGTTCCTGATGCCTTTTCTCCGCACACCTCTTACAGACATGCAAAGTGGTTGAATGTAGTGGTTGAAAAGAATAAACTATGAAATATTGCCTTCTTCAAAACAAAAACAAAAAACAGCAGTAAAAATATATATGAAGAAATGCTATGCAGGGGAGAACAGGGCCAGTTCAAGGGTACTTAAAGTAGAAGAGCTAAAAAGACATTCCTTTTCTAACAATTAAAGGGTTGATTGTTGGATTGTTCATCGCAGCAGGTAAAAGGGACAATGAAGAGACATTAGGAAATAGGTTTCCTATAAAAGAATGCCAACACCTTTTACCAGGTTGTTGAACAAATACGGCTTCAAAGTAAAAGGGATTATGAAAAGGATGTATGAACTAAAACCGTGTCTATTGGTTTGGGTCAATAAACTATTTCTGGGCTTCTTTTCATTACTTCTAAATTAAAAGAATGTGGTTCGGTGTTTGTTTTTTTTAAATTCAGAAGTATAATAATAGCTACAGCCAGTCCTCATTTAGTGATTGTTCCTAATTATAATGGTGATGAAAGAGTAACTTTGAAATGAACCCTTGCATTTACAATCTTCACAGGTACCTAAAGCAAAGGGAAGCTGAAATGGTTCCACCACAAAACCGCGGACGACAAAATCGCGGTCGAC